CACACACACACACACACACACACACACACACACACACACACACACAGTGGGGCTCAGGAGGATGAACTCAGAACAATCAAACCAATCAATGACCACATGGTCGCACAGGCCGCCACAGTGCACCTGGTCTCCATGGACACTCAACGGATGGGGGCGGTCACTCGAGAATAAACATATAGAGAAGCAGGAAGACACAATGGAAAAGCAGAAAGAGAGGAAAAGAAGAACTAAAACATTAAACAAAAAAGAGAAGAAAATTACTCAAAATGTACTAAGAAACTTGAATTAGAAGAACAAAATGTTGCTTAGCAGATCAATGAAAAACAGAAAGCATAACAGAATCATATTAAACTGTTATACTTTTAACACCCAGGGCCCCAAACAATAACACTTCAGCTATTAACACTCCAGGTGTGGTGGGCTCATAAACTCTCACAACTCATAATTCTACTAAGAATTTCTCTTGGTGTGTTAAACGTCCTTCTGATCTGAAATGCAGAAGTTGTTGAACCATCAAGAACACGCAAACACCGGAAAGACCTTAAGGAACCATAACTGTACTCTTGCACTACAAACAGACATACTCCTGAGTGCATCTGCTGCACGTCAGAACAACAACAAAGAGCATGCAAAGAACATGCATGTTCAGAAAATCACATTTGAGAGAACACTGTTCAGTCAAAAGGAAAAGGTGCTTTTTATTAAACATCTCTGTCTTTTTTTTCTGCCTTTTATACAAATACACAGGAAAGGCTTACATCACTTCAATTTATAAATGGGGTTTGATTGCATAACATTTCTGAAAGGGTGCAGACCAAGGCCAACGCACAGAAACAATAAACTGAAGGTAGCTATTACAGCAACATGGCCTCTGGGTTTGAAATGCAATGCAAAGTCTCCAGGACTCACTGCATGTGATCTGTTGTTGACTTCAAGACTGTGTGAGCAACTCTGGCAGACTGATGTTGCAAAAGGATGTTTCATTTTACCGTAGACCACCAATTTGCACTGTATAAAGTGAAACTGTGCAAAATATGATCTGACATTTAGAAATTAACTCTGTTGGTGCAGCCAGGTTTATTAAATAATATTGAATAAAACAAGTTGATTTGGATGTTACCATTTGAAGCACGTTTTACCTGACAAATCATTTTACATCGAAGAAAGAACGAAATAGTAGGAGAACAAAGGCGCCTCTTTAATTTGATGTTAGATAATCTAATTCCCTCACCCCTATCCAACCGTATTATGCACAACACGCTTTAATAAACACTGAAATGGCAAAATAACACTGTTTATAGAAATACACCTGTGTGACGTAAACATGCGCTTCATTCTCTCACAGCCTCACGGGACAGTTTCCTACGACACGACCGAAGGGACGTAAAACTGCACAGAAACGCCACATTTCGCGGCTAAATTGCGTTTTTTTTTTTTTAAATCAAATCGCTTACAAATGAAAACATGTGCATGCACTGAGTGTTATTAACCATCACATCTATACAGCCCGCCAACAGAACGCCGAAACAATGCAATAAATCCGAGCTAGCGCTCATCGCACGGCTATAACTTTAAAGCTTGTGGTGTTTTTCTGACAGCTGTCCGTCAGAACGCTTTAATGTTGAGACTCTTTAACGGTGAGCAGGTGCGCGCCAATGGAATGTCTGGACATGGAATGTGAATGTGGGAAAAAAAACGTCAACAGATTCCCGTCCTCGCGAGCATCACACAATACATAATCCAGCAGCAAGATTCCAGTTTTACCTCTCCCTTCAATTCATCAACGGGTAGAAATAATCCACTACGAAATATCCAGTAGCCGCTTTTCCACAGATATCACGGTAAGCAAACCTATTTACAAAATCATCCAAGCTTTTTTAAAACGGTGTTTAGATTCTAGTAGAAAGGGTGGGCTCGCTATGCAATGAGCCGAGCGTATTTGTAAAGGCGACCAATGGGAGACGAGCAGAGGTAGGAATGAGCCAATCAGACGCGGGATCACTAAGCTTCGGTTCCTGCCGCTAAGACTGTAGCAGCATCGTAACCAAGGAGATTTAGAAACGGGATCAACTGGATTCGTTTTGTAACTGGTTCGTTTCAGATGCTACTTTGTTTCCAGAAGAGGTATAAATGACTGAAAAACAAACAGCGCAGCTGTTTATCCCCCAAATAAAATAGAAAGCCGCAAATCTTAGGTGAAAAGCGTTATGTGTAGTTGACTAAAGCGGATTCATTTCATTATTTCATCTCAGCAACATCCAGAAAATGTTCTGCTGTTTTTGTGCTACTGGGAAAATCTTTTATTTTATTTTATTATTTTATTTTATTTATGTACAGTCAAACCAAAAATTATGCAGACGCCAGATATAATTTTTTATATCTATTTTTTTACTAATGTAGGTGAGGATAGCAAAATAAAGTAAACTGTGACATACCGTATTATACGCAAAAATTCTTCATACAGGACTACCAGTAAAATTGATAAACATTTGGGGCCAAACATTATTCAGACACTTTGACCTGACCGTGTTTTGCTTAAAGGGGTCATATGATGCGATTTCAAGTTTTCCTTTCTCTTTGGAGTGTTACAAGCTGATTGTGCATAGATAAGATCCCTGAAGTTGCAAAGACTAAAGTCTCAAAACCAAAGAGATATTCTTTATCGAAGTTAAGACTCTGCCACACCCCCCTAAAACGGCTCGTTCTAACACGCCCCCACATATCTACCTCACTATGTGGGA